GTCCCAACCATTTCAGTGTGTTTGTGGGGGTGGGGGTGGGGGGGGTGCGCTATGATGCAGTTTACTTGGCATCTGAAAATACATTTCCTCAAAGGTATTTTTAATCTGAAAAGAGCTTCACTGAGTGAGAAGTAGGAGTTTAGCAGACAGTTTCACTTTCAGTTTTACTCGTTTCCTTTGTTATGAGACCCTGCAGGATTCATGGGCGGTGTGTGTGGGGAGTGGGGGGGGGGGTGGTACCCTGCCATGAGGAAGCTCAGCTTAAAGACACGTCCCAGAGGCGTTTCTGGTCCCCACCTGCCATTTTGCTCCTCAGCATGTCTTCATAAAAACAGTGCAGGATTTCTCAAACATGCATGAATGAGTCAAAGCAAGGCTTTGGGCATGTTTTTATGAGATTATTATAACACAATATAAAACTCAAAAAAGTTGATTTTACATGATATTGCCCCTTTAAAATATTTATGGCTGGTTCAGAGCTTTGTGCAGATAAATGTGGAACAATGCCTTTAAGCTTTTTACTTTGGGAAAAATGCTGTTATTAATATAACTGGACCTACAGATCGTTTTGCAACACGTCTCCATTAAATTTGTTTCAAAAGGCGGAGCCAAGCAGAAACGAGGCGTGACTTGTAATCCAATATCTGTGATTCACAGCAGCAGATTTGTGCAGTTGCAATCACTCATTTGTGTTTGTGCACATGTAAAAAATATATAGTAGAACATTTGTTTGTGACAAGACATTATTATACAAGTGTGAAATCATTTTGCAACATTTATTTTGGTACAGTTGTTTCAAAATTGTGAACGTTACAGGTTTTTGATTTGCAACTTGTAGAATACTATTTGTGAACTTGAATTTAAATATCTGAAGAGGTGTAACTGCTGTTTTGTTCGTGTAATAGATTAAAAATCCAATTACAAGTTCATGGTTACAAATCACACACATCACAAGTAAACAGTTTCAAATTTCAAAGCGTTTTACAAGTTACAAGTTCTGTTATACAAAACGCAAATACTTAAGAAAAAATCGACTTGATAAGGATGGTTCTGCATCTTGGTTCTAACTCTGAGAAGCTACAAGACAGTTTCTCAGTTATGTGGTGTTGCATCATTTATATTATACTGTATAACGTTATGTTACAGACTTGATAATTAAGTAACTTGAACGATGGTTTGCAGACACAGTTCATCATGTTGCCTTACCTGCTTCATTGTCCTCAAACCACGACCTACTGAAAAAGTAGCTAATTTAGCACATTTAGCTTTGTCAGTTTCCAGAGCTTTCCTCTTTTTTAGCTTTCTCCGTGCCACGCTCGCTCTTCAAACACTACTGATCGCATGCGCTAACGTGTTACATCAGAGCGCAAAACAACAACAAAAAAAGAAAAAAGAAAAAATAAGAGAGCTGCCAATTAGAGGTGGAGGCAGCCCTGGGGGTATGGCAAGCCATTGTATCATTTAAATGGCTGGCAATACAGGGAAAGCCGTACAAGTGATCTGATCAATAACTAACAAGTCATACCGGCCCTTGCGGCCCAAATATCAGTCCAGCCCACCGGGAGAGGTCCAGATCGTCCCAATTAGCCATGCCGGGCCTGAACTCGACATGTTTGGTAAGTTATCGAAACTACGGTTAAAAAGGCTCCTCCCCTCGAGCGTCTAAAGAAGCGCGTCTACGTTCACATCAAATGCATCTGTCCTTGCAGGACACCAGCATCAAGATGCGTGCGTTTTGAGGTTTTTGGAGGCGCGCAACGCGTTTGGTGTAAATGTAGCGTAAGGCTAATTTACATCTGTAGTCCTAACCTAACCTTTGTAACACACCTGCACCCCAAAAACCCTACATGAGTGCAGTTGAAAATGAAGAGGGTGGAGGTGTGTGGTGGGAGATGGGAAATGGGGAGAGAAAACTGAGGGAGCAAAATGCTCCCACAGGGGGTCAGCTCCCCTGCTGACCCTGGTAGGCTCCCCCATTTCCCGAGGCCCACCCAGGGAATGAGGCCTCAAGGCCTCTTTCTCCGTACAAGACTGCCAGGCCCGGAAGGCCCCAGATCATGGACAGACAGAGCCCAGAGGACCACCAGGAACCGGGACCAATAGTCTACCCGCCCCCGAGCCGTCCAGACCCCCAAGACCTGACCCCCAGCCTCACAGACAGCCCGCAACCCAAAGAAGCTACCGAACCCCAGCAAGGACGATTCAGCTGAGAGTTCACTCCTAGCTGCTGACAGCGCAAGGAGGGACCAAGAGCGAGCCTCCGCCACAACAAAGGGGCCAGCCAGCCGACCCAGCACAGCCCCGGCCGGCTGCCACCAAGGCTACCCACCCAGCCCCACCCCAGAAGAAATACTATACCAACCCCATCATTCAGACAACTCTCAGAACATATAGCACGCTAGACACGCAGGCTGGGTTGGCCTGTTTCCAGTTATGACTCAGATGCAGGGGTCTCCAACCTTTTGTTCCTTAAGAGCTTACTTTCACAAAATGAAAATGGCAGAGAGCTACTTTTTTTCAACATTTAATTTTAAACTTAAACATAAACCATTGGAATAAGCTTGTTTTGCACAATTTCAGTTAACATGAAACCATCACAAAAAACACTGATTTTACATGAATGTGCTTTTTGTGTTTATCCATTCATATTATGTATTTCACACTAATAACTTAACCTTTAACTGCAACAGATTTGTGCACAAATAACGTCGGGTGATGGGTCTCTGATTTTTTTTTTCCGGATTGTAGACTCCAGCGGGAAGAAACCACGTGCGTGTTGTCTGCCAATTGAACATACTGAGCCCTAAACTGATTGACAACTAAGGGGGAGGGACATCTATAGATTGATTGGAATTAAATGTTTGTTTGGCCAGTGACAAAATAAATGTTTTTCCCCTAATTTTTCATAAGTACTGAAGAGCTACTTTAAATGAACTCAAGAGCTGCCAGTAGCTCACGAGCTACTGGTTGGCTACTGAAACCCTGTTCAAATGAATATTCATTTCAACAAATTTTGAGCAGAAGCCAAATAGTGAAGCAATAATCTGTCATTGAATAATTGACTCTGAGCGTTTTGAGATAGAAAAGCAACAAATCAGGAACAAAACACTAATGTGAGGTAAGAATATATGTTTATTGTCCTTGTTATTAATGCTTAATATTGTTGAAATACAAACAGTGAGGACTGAGGTCAAACGTGAATCTCACGTGTGGGAACAATCAGTGGGTCTGGTACACCAAGAGCTGCGGTTCGATGAACGCTCACAAGCAGTGTCCCATCAGAGCTCAGGGTCCCACCCACCGACAGGGGATCCATGTCCTCTGGGAAAGAGGACTTTTGGGTAAAAGTGTCTTTGACACTTCCATCATCCAGAACCTAGAGGAAGAAGACAGAAAGATGGTAAGAAAATCTGATGATGGAAAGGAGCATAAAGGAAAAATTATGAAAAAGAGGTCATGAATGGAGAAAGAGAGACTTTCACTGAAGCCAGGAGGGAAGAGACAGTGAGAAAAGAAGAGAATTTCTGGGAAATAAATGGTCAAAGTGAAGGGTCAATTTACACAAACTAATTCTTTCTGATAACTTTTTATTATTTATTATTAAGCTGAGAATTTTGCTCTGTTGATTGTAAAGTTTTTGCTCAATGGAAGAGCAGCCCAAATACCTCTCCCTCCAGGCAAACCGCCAAGCCCACGGAACTCCAGACCATGGATCTATGCTGCCAAAAATACATACCTTCTGGGCATGAATGACAACTTGGTTATTGAATGCCATCACCACAACATCATGGGGCTCAAACTGGCTGATGTCAACTGACATGTAGTAGGTGTCGCCCAGACACTGAACCCCACTGCATGATCCAGTCTGTAAACCCGTCACAGAACCACCTACAGGAGCTGCAGAGACACAACAGATCAAGACTGCTTAGAATGATGTTTTATATGGACAACATGTATTCAGCTGTTTATTGTTGAGATGTTTCAGTCAGGGTTTGGCCTAGGTCCCTGATTTCCATTGATGGATAATCTTAGTGCGTCAACAAGCCAACAATGTTGTTGCAGTGGCAAACATATAATTTCTCTTGGTTGTTCACCTGCGGGATCTGGCTGTCCAAAATGAAAAAAGCTGTCTAGGATGACCTAAAAAAAACTTTGTCGCAGCTGAAACATGAGTGTTATAAAATGTCTGGAAAACTGGACATTTTCGTTCAGTTCCAGAGGAGGATCTTTGTGTGATTTGGGTGAAATTGAGAATGAGATACTTTCTGTTTTATTGTCCATGGTATATGAGTTTGAGAAATTAATCATTTGGTAAAGTCATTGATGTTTATTCTGATTTTTTTCATTTAGTTGATGAAGATAAAATGCAGTATTTAAGTATTTTGTGTTTCAGTTAGCACAATTTCTGTTAAAAACTTGGTATCTCAGCTTCCTGAGAGGGCACTTGTTGTTTAAAGAAAGTTTATGTCTGTCCACTGTAAACCTTAATAAGTTCACAGAACTCAAAATTAATCTTGTAACAAATTACACAAAAATATTTTAGTGATGTTTTTAAATGTTTTCAGCATACATAAAATAAAAAAATACATGTGCAGTTGCCTTAAATTATCTCAACGTTATCTTATAAATATTGTAAATTTATTATAAATATCACTTAAATTTTTCTATATTTTCAACTCATAACAGTGCACATGCGTCAAGCACAATATTGTAGCATGACACCTCACAGCTACAGGGAGAGGTGTAGCTGTTGTTGTAGTTCAAGACTTCACCACCAGGTGGCAGTTTTGAATAACCTTTATTGGATTCTTCTTCATGAACAACACAGACAAAGTGAAACTCACAGGTCTTATTAATGACTAGGCCTACCACTCTCACTTATGGTKACTTCTGCTGAACGCTTTAACACAAGCTAACAAATAATGAACACACAAATTAGAGTAACACAACAGAATAATTGCTGAAAGAACAATGTTAACCATTCCTTAAAATGATTTAACAACAACAAACAAGAATCCTACCCACAATCCTCCACTGCAGTCACATGACAAACAGCCAAACACAGCAGAATGCTACAATATGCATTCCGTTCTTTAAATGTGATTATTAATATTGTGTAATGAAGTAACTGTGTGTGCGCATTTAGAGACAACTAAATATCACCTACATTTTGCCATCAACAAATGTATTCAACCAAAAGAAACCAGACAACTTCTGTTTTATTTCGACCATGTCTTGTCCTCTCCTTGAAAAGTGAAGCAAGGGAATGAGGAGCAGCAGCCTTTGTGTGTGCATGCAGCCTCAGTTTTAGYCCAGAAGAGTAGAAGTTACTTCATATATTCATGTTTATGTGCTGTCCAGAAAAATACTTAAATATTACTGGTAAAATAATATTAGCAGTTACTTTTTTTGTACAGTAATATTGATATATAACATAATGTGTATTGTTTATTTAGTAAATTCTAGTAGTTTAGAGATTTAGATTTTTTTTTTGTAAAATTTAAAAGAATAATTAAATAAATGTTACCACACCCAAAAGTTTGTTTTTTCAGTGGAGGCTGGTCAAAACTTCTCTGCATCAAGGCAAATTCAAGATGGCTGACTCATCTTACCTGAGGGAGAGATAAGACCCACCCACCAGAACGTCATGACATTGATAACATCATGACAGTACTGTATGGTTCCTAAACGTTTTGAGCGTTCCACACAAATTAGCTACAAAATATTGAGCCCTATTCAGTTGAAGTGGCATAAATCTCAACAGAGCTCAAAACTTTATAGTTTGGTCAACTCCATAATGACATTTGACTGTTGTGACCTTATTAGTTATGAGCTAGTACAACTGTTTGGGATTACAGTGTTTGAATGTGTGAGCTGCACCTGTTTTGGGGCACGACACAAATTGAAAATAAAACTACTACTACGACAGTCACAGCAGCAGTGGGCTAACAAATAACTGCAGCAGTTTGTTGTCTTATCAGGATGTTCATAAGAGGATCTGCTGTGCCTGGTAAAGTGGTGCAGATAGTTGGGTCTCCCAGGGCTCTCTTCTCCAAACGGACTGGAACAAATGGCAGAATCGAAAAAAGGCTCAAAAATGCTCTCAACGGAGTCTGATGATCCATTTAGTGATCCTTCTGATCTGTAGGAACTGGAAGTGCTGTAACGTGATGAAGAACTGTATGATGATCTTTGGCTGGAAGATGTTAGTGATGCCATAACTGAGCAAAAGCAACGACTTAAAACACTTTTACATCAAATGCCAGTTAACTTGGGAGAACCTTTCTTCAAAAACAACTTCTCAAAAAAAAAAAACAGTCAAAATCTTTGTTACCAGGAGCAGCTGTTGCTCCTCACTAATCTTTGCTTTGTGTTTAAATAAAGCCTCTCTGTGTTAGGGGTCCATGGAGCGCAGGCTGAGCTATTCTGCACTGCATTCTGGTTTTAGCCATAAATGGTCATTTATATAACCACTTAACCCAAGTGTGCAACCGACAAACTGATAAGAATTGGAGACCCCCCCACCCACCACACACACACGCGCGCGCGCACACACATGCACGCGCACACACAGCAGAGATAACACCAACAGAAGCACTTGGAGATGTTTCTGACATGTTGTCAGGAATAGAAAAAGCGGTTGAGTGGTCAGGTCATCCATAAAACTGACCTGTTCAGAATAATGACACTGCCTCAACAAAAGCAAACCTAAACTGATTAATTATTAGGCTATACCCTGCTAACAGAATGTAAACAACATTCTACAATATCAATCTGAAACAGAAAGTTTCTTCTAAGAAAACAGACTGCAGGCCAAAATGTGTTCAATGTTTTATTTATTTATTTTGTGTTTGTGCGTTTGCAAAAGCCAATATACTTGCAGTTAACCTTTATAGTCTCTTTGATTGTTGTGACATTTGTTTGCTGACAAAACAGTTGTCTTCCCAGCAGAGCCACATAACAGCAATGACATTCAAGACTGTCACATTAAAACTTTTATGATATATATGTGTGTTAGTGTGTTTCCATTCAGCACATAAAAAATGACATTCGGCAGCATTTTATTTTGCTCTTCTGAGCAAGTCTTTACAGTGAAACTTCATGTGTAAGCCACAAACTGAAAACTATGCAAAGAATACGAATAGCATGAATAGATCGCTATGACAGTCCCAATTTGTGATCTCATATAAAACATCTGTATCTGTCCTTGTGTAAAATCTCCTGCATTATTATGGGTCCAAGCCCACGGAAGCAGGGTAACGCAGCTGCATAGCAGCAGCGTTTCCATGTCTCCAGCGGAGCATGGAACCCTATTGTATCTGTTCTGTTTTTAGGGGTCCAAGCCCACGGAAGCAGGGTAACGCTTCTTCCGTTTCCATGTCTCCAGCAGAGCATGGAACCCTATTGTATCTGTTCCGTTTTTTGTTTTGTTTTTTTCCATCGGTAAAACTCATATTGGAGCCCAAACTGCAAGGGCTATGAAGAAGATTTTAATAGAATAGTTAAATAGGGTTATGTGAACAGAGGAGAAAAATAATCAGATATGTCAACCTATAGGGGGCGCCATAATCAAGGTCTTTGCATTTGGTCCGCTGGCTTCTAAACCATAAGTCACAAACCTTTTTGGCTTATAGCAACATAATCCCTGGACACCACTGAGTCACATGGTATAGGCCACGCCTATTTCCGCCTAATTTTTTTAACTACAGCGCAAAATTTGCAAAAACTACTTTTGGTTTTGCTTTAAAGACTTAAAGTCCGATCACCACAAAACTCACCGTCCTTTATTGTATGTTGATTCAAAGTCTTGAAGGACAAGTAAAAAATTTTAAAATGCTAGAGTTATGCCTAGGCAAATAGCTTAGGCAAGCTAGCTAAACTGAAATTTTGCTATATCTTCAAAACAGAAGTACATAATAAGATGAAAATCATACATACAAGAGTCAGTTTTTTTGAGTCACTTCAGTAGAAAACGAAACCAAATAGTTTATTTAGTTTATTTCTTCATCATCAGTGACCTTTTTAAGTGAAGAGAAAATAGAGACAGAGAGAAAACAGAGAGAKAAGTAATTAGAAAGATAGAAAGATTGAAATAGCGATTAGAAGTATATTAAAGAGTAACTTACCCCAAAATTAACTTTTTTTAGCTGATAAACTGTCTAGAATGTCTCTAAAATGTTATATAGTACTGTTTCTGTGCTAATTTTGATGTTTTTGTGCGTATTTGTTCTCTGTAACATTTGGCCTAAAAACGTCTTTTTGCTGCTCAAATGGGTAGAGCAGTGGTACTGCAGACTAATTTACATATTGGTTAACGGCTCTCCACGGTGACGTGTCTTCTCCAC